GGGTTGCCACCCCTCCAGGTTTCACCTGGAGTAACCAGGATTCGGCAGTAAGTCTCCAGGTTCCAGGTTACACTTAAGTTTCTCCAGGTTGAACGTCATAGAGCGTTACAAAAGAAAATTTCCAGGAGAATAAACGTTTGTTTTTGAAAACGCCGCGCAATGTCATGTCACAGGCGCATCGCCTATTCGCCAAAGCAAAGCGCCTCCCATCCGGTTTGCTCTACAGACTACAAGTTTGCTCAGTGCACAGTTTGGTGTCCAATGTGCAGGTGCAGTCAGTTACACGGAAAATACGCAGTTTGGTCAAAATTACGTAAGTCTGCGTGTTCTATATACTTTGGAAGCAATTAAGCAGTTTGTAGTTCATATACTAGGTTTGGTTGTAACGTAAAAACGATTTTTCGTCATGGGCGACAGCGACAGCACACTGAGCGATTCCAATGAAGCAATATCCGAACGTATAAGTGAAACATCAACAAGAGTGTCTGCGGTGGCGATACCTCCTACTAAAAAACAAAAATATTCCTCTTCGTTTCAAGATTCCTGGGCACAAAATCAAGACTACAAAGATTGGCTGGTGAAAGTCGATAGTCTTACTGCAAAATGTAATGCCTGCGTTGTAAAATTTACCGTAAAATATGAGGGCGAAAAAGCCGTAAAAACTCACTTGAAAAGTAAGGGACATTTCGCTGCCATTAATAACCGTACAACAAATAATTTAATTACTGCATTTTTACCTAGAAAAAATAACGCCGAAGAAAGCTCTGTGTCCATCATCGAAATTGCCCAGGTTTATCATGGTGTCAATCATCACCACAGCTATCTAAGCACGGATTGTGCAATAAAATTAAATTCGAAGCTTTATCGAGATTCTGCTTTGGCGAAGAAAGTACACTGCGGTAGAACAAAAGCTGAAGCCATTGTCGAGAATTGCCTGGCTCCTAAAAGTATTGAGGATGTCTTGGAAGATATGCAGGTCAATACAGACACATCATCACCATTTTCTGTTCTAAGTGACGCATCTAATAAAGGAAACCAAAAACTTTTTCCGGTTGCCGTGAGGTACTTCAGCGTTAAAAATGGAATCCAGAATAAATTATTGGATTTTGTCGAAAATAATGACGAATCTTCCGCATCAGTAACAAACAGCATAGTGAAAAGCCTGCAAAAATGTTCCCTGAAAATTTCGGACATTAGTTCTTACAGCGCGGACAATGCGTCAGTAAATTATGGTGTTCACAATTCAGTGTTTACAAAGTTACTCGATCTAAATGCTGAATTATTAAAAGCTAACTGCAACTGCCACGTTATTCATAATGCAGGCAGAAATGCGTCAAAAGCGCTTTCGTATGATGTTGAAAATTTGACTTTAAAAATTTATGCAGAATTCTCCAATAGTGCCAAGAAATGCGAAGCTTTGAAAGACTGCTTTGAATATCTAGAAATTCACTATCAAAAAATGTTGAGACATGTAACTACAAGGTGGCTCTCCCTATATTCGGCTCTTGATCGACTTCTGCGATGTTGGCCAGCCGTCAAGAAATATTTTCTTGATCTTGGTGAAGACAACTGTGATAAAAATGTCTGGAAATTCATTAAAAGCCAAGAGCATGAATTGGAAGACGATTTAAGATCCGAAATTCCACTTTCAGAGTGTTACATTTATTTCGTGCATCACTATATGAATATTTTGAATACGCATATAGTTAAACTGGAGAGTAATAGACTAAGCAGCACCGAACTGCATGAAATTATGTCCGATCTGAAGGAACAAATAATCCAAAGACAAAATGATCAATTCTTTGGGAGTAAAGTGTCAGCTGCTTTGAAATATCTCCCAGCGAACCAGAAACAGATTTTTTTGAAGGAGGCGAATTTGGTTTACAAGAAACTCCTTGATTATTTGGATAAGTATTATGATTTCCAAAATAGTCCCTTCCAGTATTTTGATTGTCTGAATCTGAAAAAGAATAAAGGAAATATCAGCTATAATAAAATACTGGAAGCTAAAAAAGCGGCAAAAATCAATAACATCGATGAAGACGCATTATATAATGAAATTGTGATTCTCAAAAGTGGACTACAACACCTTGAAATATGTGGAAGTGAAATCGATGAACTCTGGTGTAAAATTTTTCAAACATCCAATCTGCCCAATCTGCTGAAAATAGTCGGTAAAATTTTATCCATCCCTGTGAGCAACGCATTTCCTGAAAGAATCTTCTCTTTGATGGGTAATCTCTGGACAGATGAAAGAAACAGAATGAGAGTGGAGTTAGTTAAGGCAGAGTTGTGTGTAAAATTGAATTTTAGTATGTCTTGTCAACAATTTGCCGAATTTTTGGAAAAAAAAGAGCAAAAGGCACTACTGGATGCGTGTCAAGGCAATAATAAATATAGATTTAAGTTAAATGTAAATAATGATAAATAAACAAACTTGAATCTTATCAGTCTTATACGCTCCTATCCCACACTGAAAATTTTGCTTTCACATTTTACTCCAGGTCGTGGGTAATTCAAAGGTGGCAACCCTAAGCAATTGTGTTTCTGGGGATACACTTGGTCGTCCAGGTTTTACCACGTTTTCACTAATTTTTGGTCCAATTAAAGACAAAATAAAGTCAAATGTTTTTCGTTGCATTCTACAAATATTACAATTAGTGACTTAATACTTTAATTGACCTTATTCTTATTGTATAGTAGGCTAACAACGACCCACTATACAAACACAGACAGCCGTGCTGTACCAGAGGCTTACTTGGGATTTGAAACCCCAGAACCCTTGTAACACACAGTTTGAACTAACTATATAACTCCATACCTACCTAAAATGTGATTGGAATTGATCATCTGAATATAAATGAACCACATTTTCCACATAATGTTCAATTCTCGTTAAACGAGTGGAATCACTCACATTCATCAAATGTGTTAATACTAGAAATTCATCATCATCAGAACTTGAATCGTCCAAAATACTCAAAATATTATTAACAATTAAAGGAACTATACTTTCAGAATCCATTGTGGCAATAAGGCAATATACACAATAGAGAATAATTGAGGTTAAGTAGGTATCAGTTGTCAAAAGCATATAATTGCAAAACAAGCGGTCGAAAATTATTACAGCATCTTCAGTATTTTGAGTAAAATTTAATAAATAACCGCTTTACTGCGATTGCATTACTTTAATTACTGATACTTTTTGAAGTAAATTTCCGACCGTACCTAATAAAGGAAGATGTTTTGGAACCATTATATACTGAAACGTCCATTGAAAATAAGAAACAAATCACTACAATCATTCTGGGAGCAAAGAATATCCAGATGGACGCTTCAACCAGTAACGATATTAACAATATCAGCAAAACATCGGAAAAATTTCACTTCTTCTCTGGAGTACATTTTTCAAAATGCAAAGATGTTGTTAATGTACAATAAATAATCTTGATAGTTGGTATTAACGTTTGATAACATTTTTGGTTATACATTGTTTTGACAAGGGCTTATCCCACTGAGTGTGGTAATGAAGTTCTTATCCCACTCAAAATAACCAGGATAAGTGATAGTTCTCCTACAGGTTTTGGAAGATGAAATACGTCTTTCTTCAAATGCAGTTGAATGGTACTTACATTCTGAAAAATCTATGTATCTATGTATAAGTGAAAAATAATTTACCTAATTTTTAAGGAATCTATTTTGTGTTTGTAATGACTAATAATACAAATAATTGAAACAAAACCTTACTTGTTGTATTTAATTCATGTGCCACTCCATCCCATAATTTATCTAACATGAATCTGTTGTGGTGATTATTGCCTTTCTTGTCCCAGAAAGAGCCCCTAACAAATACCTCACTATTAATTTGTCAAGTTCCCTATGCACAACGCGACGAAATTCACTGATTTCATATCGTCCCTCATTATCCCCACTTTCGTAATTCCCCAAAAACGCCTACACAGAGCGAAAAATGTTATAGCCATTGATTTAACAAAATTTAAAATACATTTTGAAAGATATAGTTTTCTAATGACCCCCCCCCCTCACAACACTCAATACTTAATTCGCACGAGATATGATTGAGTTCTTTCATTATTCATTAGGAAGCGTTTGTTTTTACGAATCTCTAAACTGTTTTGACAATCTCGGTCACTTTTACTACTCACTTGCTTAACCACTCAAATACCGTCATATATTGACTATTTTCACGCATATGTGCTGTAACGCTTGATAACGATTACCATTGAAGTGAACCATGTGCTCTTTAAAACAAACCCAATATACAGGCTGATTCAAATTCGAGGGCCACCACGGGGATCTCGAGATAGGTAGGTAGTTTAAATTTGGCAAAGTTGCGTATTTTGATGCTTAACAAAATGCAGTTTTGGAACTGAAAAAATTCCGACTACTTTCGGAAATATCCGTAAAACAAGTTGTAAATCAGCATATGCATGATTAAAGCGCATTTTTAGTAATGCAGGTCAGTATTTTATTAGCGAAGTTTAAAATTATCGATCTCACGAGTAATTTTGGCTGCGTTAAATAATTAATTTTATTTAATTTCAATTGACGGTACGTCTTCATTTTGTAAAACAAATCACAAAGTAAATAATAAGTTTTTATACTGGTAGCGCTATCTAACGGTAAAATTATAGCACCTCCGAAACCCATATCGAAATTATTTTCTTCAATTATCGATCTCACAAGTAATCTAACTCAAAATAGACTAGTGCCTGCACATCTACACTATAGCAGAAAGCTTTTAGTGAAAATTTGAAGTCTCTAGCTATTGTAGTTGTGGAGATCTAACGCGGACAGCCGGCCTGCCAGCAATAACGAATATAATAGCGTATTTTTTTTCAAAAATGCGCTAAAAACGAACTAATAATGAAACTGCCTACGTGCAGTATAAAATGAACATCCAATGAGGTGAAGAGTTAAACGCGCTTGATTAATGAATCCAATATAGGAGGTATCATTTACGCAACTACGTAACGTCATAAGTAACACGTAAGCTTAGGCGGTAATTTATATCTCAAACGACATATTAGATTACTAAACGGAATCTAATTGTACGAGATATTCCACAATAGTGATGAATTAATTAAGATAGAACGAGGTATTGATGATAGACGTGCACCATAGAGAAATTTCTATGTTAAGCGATTTACCTCTTCAATTTATAGCCTCTTCGTGTTCTACGCCCGGCATTTGGCATCCCTATAGAAAACCCGGTAGGATTACGAATATTAGAAATATTGATTCCCGTTTGAAAATGAGTGACAGTATAAGCACGAACCTGGAGAATGATATCCCTCAAACTACTAAATTATTACCATAATAAAGATGTTTTCTATAAATTCTCATTCTCGTTTTAATGGTTGTTTGAACATCTTGTGATGGATGAAACTCGACTTCTTGTAGTGCTCTTAAAGTAGATACACAAAGAGCAGATTTAACTTTTATTTTGTGGCGATATAGATAAATAATGTATTCCTACTCATGTCAAAGATGTAGTCTGAGTACTGAAGTTTCCAACTTGTAGAACTTGAAAGTTTTTTCACTCAAAGGCCAAATCTACATATATAAAACAAGCTATAAAAGAGATTAGATTAGTTTTAAGTTTTCAAGTAGGCTTTCAAAGGTGTATTACGGCTTGCAACTATATAAAAAAAGCGCTTTTGTAACGTGTTTCGTATCTTAATTTTAAGCCATAAAAGGTCCTTTATTTTATACGAACAGGTTTGTAGCTTTCCAGTAGGTGCACAATTTCTCTGCTGATGGTTGAAGTGAAACTTTTATTTTAATCACAATTCCCATACATTATATAATAGACTTGTAGGATTTTTTTGAATAAAGAGAATGTGTTTTCGATAGGACGAATGTGTTACGCCTACTTGCAGATTTTATTTTTGAATAGAATAGTTGAATAGGGTAGATGACAAATTTTTTAAAACCAGTTATAACTGTTCGTATACCTCTACTATAACTTTAAAATATGACATTTCAGCAAAATAAATTATATTATTGCATATTTATACAATTTAAATTGTAGATTTTTATTCTAGCGCCAAAACGCTGTTTTGTGTCATGGCGGTGTATGTGACGTCACAGTCCTGACAATTATAAACACATAACCCCAGCGTAAATAGTTTAAAAGATTTCGTGATGAATTATAACTACCGTAAGTGGTGCCCTACCATGGAGTACACTTTGTCGTGGTGTAGGGCTCAGTAGTCACATTTTTCTGTAGCACAGCTAAGTATCCCAGGCGGGCAAATCTGGTTCCAAGGATGCTGTATCATTCAAATGCTTCATGGAGTAGAGAAATCCAAAAGGGTTTTCGACGATTGCTCATTAAACGTAATATAGAAAACTATATTGACATGAGTAGTGCATTTTTCACGTACGTTAACTCCTGAGCCGTGCGGTAGACGACAATTTGGACAACTTCCGAATCCGATTGAGCCATTTGCCGATAGAGTTTCGAATAATCGGACTAGATCATGACTTGTTAAATGTGACAAAGGAGACTTTATCGACACTAGTATTCCTTTGGACTCTGAGGGGTTGTAAAAGTAGCTTGATAGTAGGGCAAAGAAAAGAATTGTTTTCTTCGTCGACAACTAAGGAAACTGCATACAGCTTTGCGTGAACCGTATGTTGCGGGCAAATTTTGACTTAACTGTGAATAAGTTGCCAGAGTCTTCTGTTCGACTGCACCCAATGTAAGAGTGCCCGCCATAAAAACTGTTTTTCCAAAAAAATTTGTTTTAAGAACTACTTTATAAATTTAGTACCTTTACCTATCTACAAAATGTTCGTAACAGAAAACTCTTAAAGTGGACATAGCTTACTGAATCATCTCCATATGATAGCTTCGATGACCTAAAAACAAAGCATCTTAAGTACACATTCCTCTTAAATAACTACATTTCTTGTAAAAAATCTAAGCTTAACTTAAAATCCTACAAGACTTATGGCAGTTTTCTGATGAACAAAAATCTTTGTTTGATGCAAGAAATATTCCCAACATCATTTCATCAATGTTTGGCAGATTGGCTGCTACCAGCTTTCGTATACCCACTTTCCATTCTTATCTGGTTTTAAAAACTAAACTTTAGGATAATATAATCACTATAAAATGCAACAAGCACTAAATTAAAAAACGTAGACAAACTCTACAAACGCACAGAGGATTAGGATAATGGCGTCACGCGCTCTGATTGGCGTTTGATATCACGTGACAAATGTCGTTATTTTTTAATTTTAGTTTTACTAAAATATAATAGTTTCTCGTGTACATTACCAAAGAAAGTTATTTTGCGATACCCTGACACCTTACTCTATCTTATGAAACAAAAATTTATTTATTCTTTTTCCACTGTCATGTACCCTATTCAAGTCTCTGGTTGAATTAGATTTAGGTGATGATCTTAATTTTTCATTCGAGTTTATGTTTTCAGGGATTTCTAGTCGACAGAAAGAAAACTCATAATCTGCTTTAGGGCATTTTTATATCAAAAGACAGTTCAATTATTAAACGTTATTTTGAACTGTAAACACACTTTCTTACATATTTATTTAATAAGGAATCAGTCTCCAAAAGCTCAGTCAAAAAGCGTTCTCTCAAATACTTTTAAAATCAGTTGTAATACTCGCACGGCATTTTATTCAAAGCCACTTCGTCAGATGGTCTTTTGAGTTCTCTAATTTCAAAGAAACCTCTCGATTTTTCGAATTTCATCTCATGAAATTTAAATGTAAGTTATACAAATGCGGCGCATATTTTTTCGTTCACATATTCTATTGTATGCCTTGTAACAAACGCTCATTCTGCAAAGTCGAAATCTATATTTTCGGTAAAAAGAAAAAATCTCCTTAAGATTTTATGTTGTACTGAAAGGAAATGAACATTCCGCCTAATAAAACGGAGCTCTTTGCCGGATTTGGTTCGTTGCCAAATGCATTTGATGCATTCATAAATTTATAGGAAATTATTCTCCTCGGTCCATTTTTATTATTCCATGTCACCATTTTTCTTCCGTCTGTGGGAAAAGAGCACAGCAGTTAATCACTTAGTTCTTTTGCTGTAAGTGCCCTATTTGTACCATAATAATACTCACTGCCCTCAATTTTATGTGCGGAGGTTTCGTTCTAGAACCGTCGACCTTACTACATTTTCCATTGTTTTTCTGCGGCAGATGTGTACGGTTTTCGT